TTCAAATCCACCAGGAAGAAGATGTGGCAGTTTGCATTTGTAAAGATGACAGCCTTGGAAACCCTCTGGGGCAGTTCTTCTCTGTCCTCTAGGGTCACTATGAGTTGGAATCAACTCAATGGCAGTGAGTTTGGGTATGATAGTGAGGTGTCTGTATGATATTGGGGGCATTTTCATAACATCAGGGTGTGGGCCCCAAGCCCTCACGGTGTGCTACTCTGCATTTTTAGGTCGGGGACGCAGGTTCCTGGGAGCAGCTGGTTCAAGGTGAGTGTTCTGGTTATCTAGTGCCGTTGTGACAGAAGTATACCACAAATGGGATGCCCTTAACAAACAGTAGTTTGTTACAGTTTGGAGGCTTTAAGTCCAAGTTGAAAGTGCCAGGCTCTAGGGGCTAGGTGAAAGCCCCTCAACCTTGGAGTCCAGCTCTGCCTCCTGCTGCCGGCCCACTGGAGCTAGAAGCATTTCTTCACTCAGACAGCTGCTGGCTGTTGAGGCTGACAAGCCCAAGGTTGACAAGTAAAAAGACATAGTCCCGATGTTGCCAAGTCACATGGCAGGCCATTAACTTAAGTCCATTGTAAGTCCCAAGGTCAGCAGAGTATGGCAGGCTGCTGAACAACGACACAGCTACATGCAGGGTTCAAGCGTGCCGTCAGCTAGAGACCACTCCCCAAGGCTTCTGCTTATATACAGGAAGCAGACCACATCCCTAAGGCAGCTACTCAGCTGCTCACAGTAGATTCCACCATGGAGTTGATCACTAGTCCCATCATGGGGAATACTACATCCAGCTGCCTGGCCACTCAACCAGGCTCAGCCAAGTTGACACGAAAACTGAACTACCACAATTCTACCCCTTGTCAACTTGACATCTGTACAGATCTTCATTGGGTGGCAACTGTACAGATCTCTCTCACTGGGTGGCTCCAGTCCCCTAGTTCCTCTAAGTGGTGACCTCACCCCCTTGGCCTGGCAGGTCCTGTTCCTCTCTCTCTTGGGCATGGCAGCCCCGCCACCTCACTCTTGGGCAGCGGCTATGGCTCCATCCCACTGGCTCACATGAACAAGTAGCCCCACACTCCAGAACCAAGTTCATGAAGGCCTGGCTCTTTGAAACCTAGGGGGCTGTGGTCGTTCCACCCCCAAAGGCCATGGTCCTACCCTGGAGGCTGAGGCAGCTCTGCTTCCGTTTCCTTGGTCTCTCTTCTTCTGCCGATTAATGACAAAGGCAATCCACTCCGCTGGAAATCTTCCTGCCCAAAAAGCACTTGACTTTCATGCTGATCTTTTCTACCAGTTAATGCCCAAAGGCAACCCACCCTGCCAGGAAGCTGCCTACC